TGTGTCCAACACCAAAGCAGTTGCCCATACACACCTGAGCAGAATGACAGTGAAAAGAAGAATCAGACATATTATATAAACTGCTAGAACATTATTAAATCATGTCAAATTACATTTGCAATTCTGAAAGGTTATCGTTGATACAGCCATTTCCTTAATTAATCATATTTCTTCCCCCAACATACCTAATAAATCTCTCTTTCAACTTCTATTCAAGCGACTACCTGAATATCAATATCTACAATATTGAGCGGTGTCTATTTTCCTTGGTGTCCTCCATCTCATACTCATAAATTTACAGTCAAAGCTCCTCTATGCATTTTCTTAGGTTATAGCACAAAATATAAAGGATAAGCAACAAAGTATTGTCTCCCAGCATGTCAAATTCATTGAAAACCAATTTCTCTATCAAGATCTTTCCTCTCTCACAACTCAACATGACTCCTCTCTACCCCAGCCACCCTCATCTCTATTAATACCTACTTCAACTTTAAACACACAATTCTCTAACTCACCCTCTTCTCATCATCTCTCAGAAGCCCCACCAAATAATCATATTATGCCCCCCTTCTCACCTCAACCAACCAACTCTCCTTCTCCACCTACTCATACAACCTGCCCACCTCATTCCATTCAAACAGCTCCTCTCATTACTCTTCCCATGATTACTTGTTCCAAAACAGGTAACTTAAAGCCCACAAAAATTTTTAATCTCTTACATCAACATCCATTAGATACCCCCATTACTTTCAAGCAAGCATTTGGACTCTTGTTCCTCCAGATAATTGCTATGCCAGAAGAAGTAATGACTCTTCAACAATAAGCTACTTGGACTCTTGTTCCTCCACCTACCAATCAAACCATTTTAAGCTCCAAATAGACTTTTCATGTTAAATATCGCACCAATAGATCTATTGTGCACTATAAAGCTTGCCTCATAGCCCAAGGTTTTAAGCAACAATAGTGCATCAATTATCATGAAACATTTAGTCATGTCGCCAAGTTCTCCACAATTAGCATGCTAATAATATTAGCCATTACTAAAAAATGGAAATCCACCAACATGACGTATCTAATGCTTTTGTGCATGAGAAACTTGATGACACCTTATATATGTGACAACCCCATGATTCATTGATAATCAATATCCCCATTATGTATGTAAGTAGAAAAAAGATATTTAAGGACTATAACAAGCACCAAGGCATGGAACTCCACATTTTCGAATTTTCTTCTCAATAAAAAATTTCAATTAAGCAAAGTTGACCCTTCTTTACTCATTTATCAACATGAGCACACAATTTTTTCTTCTTATAGATGTGATGATATCTTGATAATTGGAAATAATGCATCTATTATAAATAAACTAGTTTCATCTCTCAAAATCCAGTTTAATTTGAAAAAACTTGATCAACTTTCTCATTTTCTTGGTCTACAAATAAAAAATCAATAAAGCCTATTTTTTGTATCAAATAAAGTACACCACTGACTTATTAAAACTACCCAACATGTTTAATTCCAGACCTGTTTTAACACCTTTACCCACACAATCATATGCAACCAACAACAATCCTTCACCGCTTACTGATTCAAATAATTATAGAGATTTAATTGGCTCATTGCAATAACTACTAGACATTACTTTAACAGTTTATTTTTTAAGCCAATACGTGCATATTCCAAATACTCGACATTTTCAAATGCTAAACTGGTTGCTCAATTATTTCAAAGGAACCCTAAAGCACGAGTCACCAATTAAATTTGACAACCTTGAATTGCATGCATTTGCTGACACAAATTAGGCATATAATCCGGTTTACATGAAATTTATTACTGGTTAGTGTGTTTATTTAGGTCCTCATTTGGCCTCATGGAGTTCCAAGAAATAAGCAACCGTATCTTGTTCATCAACCAAAGTTGAGTGTTGGGCATTAGCCATGGCTAGAACATAAATCACTTTGCTCTGAAGATTGTTTCAGGGTCTTACCAGCACTCCGCTAAGACCAACCAAACTATACAGTGGCAGCACGTCGACGATAGCCTTAGCCCACAATCCAGTTTTTTGTGCACGCTCAAAACACATTTCTGGCAACTCTATAGTGGCAGCAGATCGACAATAGCCTTAGTCCACAATCCAGTTTTTCGTGCGCGCTCAAAACACATGTTTCGCATTTCAAGACCGTCAACAACAAAAGTTGTGATGGAAGAAACGATCAGAATACCTCGCATCCATACACCTTTTCTTTTTATTCACTTCTGCCACATCACAATGGAGCAAAAGCGTACTCTCAAATATAGTCGAAGTTACGATCGACAATACATCTCAAATGGTACCTTTGGTTGTAAAAAAAATGGACGAAATGGAATATTATTTGACTTCATTAAATTAAGCTGGGATTTTATCTGAATTTACTTACAAGATGATTACATTTATTAAAAAAATATAAAAAAATGACAGTTTTCTCATGGACAAATATCTACTATATTTTAAAAAAAATGAAATTTAGCTGGATTATCGTTTAGCTATATTAAGAAATAATACAAACTTAGTCCTCCGGAGTCAATTTTCAAAACATTATAAATTTATGTCATAGTGTTTCCTATTAACAAAAATGAAATTTATCTTGTTATATATGTATGAGGACTTCCATTTTTTCAAATAGTTTGCACCGTGGGCTCCCGAGAAGTGTCGCATTAGATGGAGAGACGCCGTGTAGGCTTAATTTGTAGTCTCTATCGAGAAATACGGCCCATCAATATCTTGGATGTGGCCATCGTTTTCCATTTCATATGACGATCATTATCGCCCAACTAATTAATTCAACAGCCACCAACCCTTATTGTCTTATTCATCTGCCATCTATCACCAATTTCATGATAATTATAATCTTGAAGCGGGCTATTGTAATATAAATACTTTTTATTTATATTTTTATGCATATTATTTGATTTTTTTTTTTTTACTTCACAATCATGTTATTATTGTTATGGTTTCAAAAACCCAACAAGAATTGGACCGGCTAGTTCGATTGGGTTAACTGAGAAGCCGTCATTCAGCCGGTTCGGTCTAAGCTCAAAATGGTTTATGTACAAAACTGAGATTGAACTGGCTAGAACTAGGGTTGAACTGATGAACCAACCTTGTTTTTGAAGATTCATCCGGTTTAAATATTATTCAATTTTAACTTTTTGATTTTCATCAGATGATCAAAAAATGAGATATTTAAATAAAAAAAGATAAATATCATGTCATAATTTTTTTTACTTAGACAATGTTCAAAATACTCAAAAATATTATTTTAAATTAATCTATTACTTGTTAATCAATAAAAATGATATTAATATATTATTATTTGATTAATTAAATTATATTAAAATAATTTAAATATTTATTACGTCTTTCGGTTCAACCTGTTCAATTTTGATGACTGATCCGTTTTTCACAACTTCGAGCATTGTAGATAGCTTTTATGGATGATATGTTTTATGTTATTTTTAATATTTAGATGAGTCTTACGGGAAAAATGATCACATTATTCACATGATACTTAGGGCGATAATGGTGGTTTGTTTATGCTTGCAAGAACATACCAAATGTATAAAAGCAAACCATAAAACAAACCTCAATCTTGAAGCCAAGTTTATACTAAAAGTAAATCATGAGTTTCACAAGCTCTTATTATCAAATATAAGCAAGCCTAGCTTTATCAAATACAAAGATCTATACCCGAATTACTCAAACCTTTAGGTTAAGTTTGTACCAAATTCATAAACTTTACATTTGTTCCATTGCCTTTATCATTGATAGAAATATTAAGAACTACATGTACAACTTAAACTTAGTGCTAGGTCAAAAATATACTTATTATTTCTACCAAGCATTCAAATTCATTAATGGACCTCTTCCCCTAAGGAATAAACTTTGCCCTTCTAATGATTGGGATTCATATACTTTGTCGCAATTAGGTAGTCGTCATTGTGAGTGAAAGTAAAGCTCATGTTTATTCTTAGGATATTTCTTTGATCCAACATCATTTCAACTCGGTGCTAAAGCTAACTTGTGGCACCGACTCATATATGCAACAAAATATATTCTACCATATAAATTCCAAACTCACCATAAACCATTGACCTCGCTTTATTTTAAACATCTAATATATTAATGCCCTCTATGGTGCACAGTTTTGAAATGAATTTAGATGAAATATTAGATGGGTGAATTTCCCATGCATTTTAGTTAACCCTTCAAGTCAACCTCTATATGAGTCTATCAAATTATGTTTTGAACACTAGAGTTCACATAAGAATATCTTCAAACTACTAATAGTCAAACTAGTCTTCTTGAATTAATTCAATTAAAATTCATACCATTGAATCTCACTCACCTGAGGTCGTCTTTTTTTCCCTCCTCCCCTCCTTCCGGCGAATCACAGTCGTTATCAGAGCGAATCTTGCATTCGGAATCTCGACATAATATTTTTTCCATCAGAAGAGCATTGGAATTCCTTGCGGATTTTATTTATTAATTTGGCCTTTGGTGATAGTTTATTAATTCGAATGATATATTTTCTTGTTTATGATCTAAGTCTTGCTTTATGGCTAATAATCGGACTATGAAAAATTTACATAAAAAAAACAGGCTTAATTTATCATGCTAAATAAAATTATTAGCATATTTTTGTATAAATTAAATACAAGTTAAATTGACTACCAAAATACAAATTGCTAGATGCGGAATTCATTTATCAACTGAAATAATTGGCATTCACATAAAAACTTAATTTTCATACGAACACAGAAAAGAAAAGGTCACATTTACAATCCATTTACAAAGCAATTTTCACTACTAAAGAAAATGATTTATTAAAAAAAATAAAAAAAATTATTTTCAAAATTCAAATCCATTTACATCAAAATTATTTATTATTCCAACGCAATAATTTAAATTATTATTTTGAGAATATTGCTTTTCCGATTTGCTAAAAAATAAAAAAAATTTGAAATATTTCACCACGAACTTAACTTCCATTGCACCTCAAATTTACAATCCCCGTTTAATTAAAAAAAAAAAAAAAAACTAGACTTCTATTCCCGATGCCTCGATTCCCTCTGGTCCTCATCTCCGGTCCTATTTCCTGTCCCCACACTCCCTCCATTCTCACTCTTACCTGCACCGTCACCGTCACCGTTACCGTTAACGTCACCCCCAGCGTCGCCGCCGGCGTTTCGATCCCCAAAAGACGACGCTCGGCTGGACATCGGCGTCGCGAGGAATGTCGGCTTCTTGTCTCCGGCCATGATCACCACTATCCGCTCCTCATAAACCGCCGCCGTTAGCTTCCCGTCACCGTTGCCGGACTTACCCTCCTCCTCTCCGGCCGCCGGAGGGTTGCTATCTCCGTCGCCTTCGAGGTACCCCGAAAGCTTCCAGTAGGAGCAAGCGAGGATGAGAAGGGCGAAGGCAATCAGTCCGAGCATGGCGGCGAGCCCCCCGAAGAGATAAGGTACCGGAGAGTGCCAAGCGGAATGAAGGGTGGCGGCGGAGCTCGCCGCCGGCGAATTCGCCGGATTTTGTTGGGAGAAAGCGGCTCCTGGTCTCATGATTTGTTGCGAAGGTGGATGGTGTTTGGATTGAAGAGAGGGTGACGGTGGGTATTTATAAGTGGGGATTGAACTAAGAGAAATGTTTTGTTCAAGGACTAAGCGCCCGTTTGGGGTAGCTTATAAGTGCAGGCGGCATTTTGAAAACGTCACCATAACGTTTGGTTCGCACTTTTTGATAGATTGTTTAAAACAGCGTTTTTTATTTCCTAAAACACGCGGACCGCGGGCTGACCCCCGCGGTCCGCGTTTCGCGATTTTTTTTACCTCATTAACCCCTGTTCGTTCGAAGCCTGCTCGTTCGAAGCCGGAAGCGATCTTCTTTTCCGCGACCTTGCCTCTCCCGATAGCATTTCTCCTTTCTCCTTCCTCTTCCGCGAGCTCTTTCCTCCCGTCGAAGCCGGATCTTGTCCTCGGTCTCTCGTCGAAGCCGGATCTCGTCGTCTCGCTCTCCTCGAAGCCGGATCTTCTCCTTCACTGTCGTTGAAGCCGTATCTGCTACCCTAGCTCCCGTCGAAGCCGGATCTTCTCCTTCGCTGTCGTCGAAGATGTATGTGGTGTAGCGGAATTAATATTTTAGAAAGGGTATATTGAATAAATATTGAAATGTTGAGGAGTATTTAAATTTAAATTTTTATATTCTTAATTTTATTAAAAATTATTATAAATATAAATATAATCAGTACTAAGTTATTATTAAAAATCTAAATTTTTTGGACAAAATTTTTTTAGTATTTTACTGCATGTCCTTCGTGATACTACGTGATATTAGTGCTTTGTTTTAAGGGGCGTCCTGATTCTGCAAATCCCTTTTAAAAGCCACATCCACGACGTCCACCGAACGAATGAATGAGACAAGTTACAATCTGAAATGATCAAAACTCGTCATTCTTGTGAAACAACTTTAGAAGACAATCAAGAGATGTTGTTTTTACAAATAAATTTTTTTTCTGAGCGTCGACATTCACTTCAATCGAACAAAACTTCAACACCTTCTTAAGCGAATCATGAAATAACTAATTTCCGTTTCTACCACAATATATGTGAAAGCAAATCACAAATAATAGTTTTGTGGTATGTTTATTTGGGGCATTTACAAAAATACAACAATACTCTATTATATTTACATATCTCGCCTAAACTTTCATATTTACATGCATGCCGCCCACAACCTTAAAAGTACATACAAAAAGTATCACCCTTAACAAAAATTTTTAAAGCCGAATATTTCTTTTCATGTATTGGTTTATGACCTCAAAGTGTTATAAATATTAATATAAAATTCTGAGTGTTGGATACGTAAATACATAGGAATTGTGTGGTATGTATATAAATTTCCCTATAAACAAATCTAATAAATGAGAGATCATGAATTTCTCCTCTAAAATTTTCATTAGCATGACCATAGTGGTACCTGTCGTATCAACAACCGAACCTGACATTAATATAGGCGAGACCTTGCATAAAATTTATTGTGATAGTTTCATTAATTTTCTTATGATATTTTAATTAGATATTGTCAAATTATTAGTACATTGGATGTGTTATCAGCAAATCTTTATTATCATGCATGAATTTCAATGTACTTTGAGCAAGAAATATTCCAAATATAAATTCAAGGTCATCCAGGCTTTGATTTCAATAAGTTTATTGTTGAAATCAATGGCATTGATAGTGAACTAATATGAGTCCAACTAGGTCAAAATCAAATACTTTAAGTATACCCGAAGGTTTTGGTACATCAATTGGAAGGCTAAACTGTCAAAATTTAGCATGCTTCGAGTCAAACTGAACGGTTCAACAAAAGAAATTCAACGAGCTCGGGATCATCTAATTTTGAGGTTGTTAAAGCATTTAAATATTAAGAAAACTACATGTGGTTTAGGAAATAATTATGAATCATCCGATGGATTGTTTTGAAATTCTTGTTATATTTATCAAAGACATCCAAAAAATTATTAATGATGGTCATAACTCTATGTTCAAGTTTTGCCAATGTAACAAATGTAAGTAAATATATCATTTTTAAAAGTTGTATTTGAATAAATTTAAATACCTAAAAAAAATTAAATGCATTTTAAGTGCTTTCTCAAGCTTATTATGAGTTAGTTCATGTTACATATGTTACCGTTGGGTTTCTGTCATCTAAACTTTCAGTTCGACTAATTTGCTAAATTTAAAGTCTTAATAATTTTAATTTAATTTTGAAAACTTTAGTGTGTGTGTGTGTCTATATATATATATATATAT